ATATATATATATATATATATATACACACACACACACATAAATACATGTATTATAAATTTTTATTTTTACATGGATATTTTATTGCTTAGAGACCTTTTTTAAGCCCTCTTTCAATTGGAAGAACCTGACAATGTTTTGAAAAATGAATCCATACTTTGAATATTACAGTTTTTTGTTTTTGTGCAAACTAGATGAAAAACTCTTGAAAAATCAAAATCTATATTGTTGAGATTTTTTGAGATAATAAAAATCAAAAAATCAAAATCAGTTTTTACTACAATTTTTTGTGAAACTCAGACTAAAACAAGTTGTTTCGATTAATTATGTGGTTCATTAAATGACAGGAAAGTTACATTTTCTATCAGGAGATATCAGGATCAGATTTGGTGTTTCATTTTTTGTTTTCATTTACTTGTTTCATTGATTTATTTTTGCCTTTTCAGACACGACGCTGCTGACAGGATCTTTTTTTTTTACCACTGCATGATCAATTTTGTCCATGTTACACAAATGTCTAAAATGTTATACAAACACCCAGGCTGTCTCCCACAACAGAAATCTTTAAACCATAGTTTAAAAGATAGCACTAAGATCAGTTTCAAGCACTAGATTGGCAATCACAGTGATGGCTGATGGTAAGTGTTGAATTATAGCCATTACTGGATGATTGCGAATTTTCCAAAACATCCTTACCTCTTCTCACACTACAGTTATTACTCGACTGCCAGGGTTTCCTTCCTTTGCCCACCTAAGCATTGGTCTGAATTTTTCTTGCTTGACCCATTCTTTTACACCTCACTTAATTGCCCGTGGCGATATCTGTCATGTGACACTCTCCACCTATGTCAATGCACCCTCTATCCTGGTACTGTATATAAGTACCTTCATCAGATAATATTGTCACTCTTTCTCAACAAAGCATTCACTAACAGGTTTCTCTGTACTATGACTATTGGGGATACTTTGAGCATTCTTCATGTTACCTAATTGATTTTCATAAAAAGTTTAATTTGTTTCCCGATATATTCCCATCTGAACACTGTGATATAACCTTTCAAAGAGAAAATTAAATTAACAGTACTCTCTACTGAAAACAACATAGCATTATACGTCATTCAATGGATTAAAACTTTGCCTTTCTTTTGGTTATAAATTATATAGTATAAAGCATATGGTAGAAATTAACATTTCCATTTTGTCTATTTTATCTTGCTTTTTGATCATTATGTTATTATGCCATCTCACCAAGAATCATGTCATGTGAATTCACAAAAAATGTCAACTTTTTATTCTTGTATTTACAGGTCTTTAAAGCTATGTTCTAAACCAGAAGATTTAAAAAATGAACTATTATTAATTAAATATATAGAAATAGAGGTTTTTCACCAACTGTTTTTGTTAGAACCACAATAAAATTTAGTAAAATTATATGAAGTTCTCAAGAGGTTACGCACAAGTAGTGCTCTGATTATTAGATGTAACAAAACAGTGGATCAGTAGGTTTTATAAAGTCATGGTAAGTAGAGTTTAATAAACTGTTAGATACAGGAATGGCATGGCTTGTAACAAAACAGTGGATCAGTAGGTTTTATAAAGTCATGGTAAGTAAAGTTTAATAAACTGTTAGATACAGGAATGGCTTGGCTTGTAACAAAACAGTGGATCAGTAGGTTTTATAAAGTCATGGTAAGTAGAGTTTAATAAACTGTTAGATACAGGAATGGCATGGCTTGTAACAAAACAGTGGATCAGTAGGTTTTATAAAGTCATGGTAAGTAGAGTTTAATAAACTGTTAGATACAGGAATGGCATGGCTTGTAACAAAACAGTGGATCAGTAGGTTTTATAAGTCATGGTAAGTAGAGTTTAATAAACTGTTAGATACAGGAATGGCATGGCTTGTAACAAAACAGTGGATCAGTAGGTTTTATATAGTCATGGTAAGTGGAGTTTAATAAACTGTTAGATACAGGAATGGCATGGCTTGTAAAAAGTTTAAAGAAGGTGCAGTGATCACTGGTTTTGTAACAGGCAATATGTCCTACAAAATTGATGGTGTAAGGTCTCATTTTTCTTTTGTAATAAATCACTAGGTGCTTTAATATAAACTTGTATGTTGAGTATTTACCTCGTCTGTTGTTGTTCACCATTTTAGTATAAGCATAACTTTTTAACAATTCTTTGGTTGACTGAATATAGTTTCAAGACAAGTGGGGATTTCAAATGGTAATGTCAAGCCTTGTTTTGTATTTAATTGTTTCACAACACAAGAAGTAATGTTCCATTTAATACTTTGTGATGAAATTTTATAACAGTCCCTTTTTTTTTTAGTCTAGTTGCTAATTATTAAAACCTTTTGATACTTGTTACAGATGCACTACGCAAGAAAGTTTTTGAGCTTATTGAGCCAGACAGTTGCTGAACAAGCTGGGAAAAGTGTAATTGAAACTTGTATGAACACGGTTGTGATAAGCCTGGCAATGGTAAGTTATTAGGTCATCAGTTTTTGTAAAGAGAAGAAGAAGAGATTAACATGTATGTATGTATTTGGTAAAACTTTTCATTTGTAAAAATTATCACAATTACTCTTAATACTGTCAATAGTCTCTATATACTTTATTGTAAACTAAGCTCTTGAGCTTCTAAAATTGATTTGATGAAGACTGTTACCTTTTATATACGTATATCTGAAACTTAATTTGTAGAACCTGAAAGATATGATTCATACATAAGTTGCAATAGAATTGTAGTCAGATATTTTGCTATTTTTATCTTGAAACATGTTTAAATCTGAATTTAGGCTTAATCTTACCACATCAGGTACTGGCTTTATTATAGCCACACCTATTGTTCGATTTCATTGGAACCCATTCTGGTGATTGTTATAAGTTTCAGGAAATAAAAAAATTAAAACGTAATACAAACTGGAACTTGTTTGTTTTGAATTATCTAGGTGATGGCAGGAAGCGGAGATTTAGAAGTGATGAGAATATGTAGACATCTACGAACTCGGATTGGTCAAGCTAACAGTTATGTTTTATATGGTTCTCACATGGCTACACATATGGCTTTAGGTCTGTTGTTTCTTGGAGGAGGCAGGTAAAAATGACAGTTTCTCGTATGTGTCCTCTATATGTGTATCTTCTCATAAAGACAGAATTTTAAGTAGATTTAATAAGATTATAACTTTAAAATTAATAGAAACTTGAATATTTTTTTTTATATCATTGACTGCAAGTTTTTGAACTTTTCTGCAGATATTAAACTTTAGGATTTATTGTAGTGAATGTGAAGTTGTAAGATTTTTTCAGCCTGTTGCAAACATTAAAAACAGGACAGAATAATTAATGGGGATTTATTTTTAACTAACAATTTTTTTCTTTTAATATAGTAGATGCTAATTTTAAAATTTCATGATAGCATTTTAGTTTCTTCAGCATCATGTGAATTGTTTTTAAACACGTGTTATTTTTTATCATTTTTCTTTAGATATACATTAAGCACAAGACCTGAAGCTATTGGGGCACTTATATGTGCCTTTTTTCCTAAATTTCCAACACACAGTAACGATAACAGGTAAGTGCCTTATGCTGTATTTGTATGGGCTGCAAATTTTAGAAGAGTTTGATTTTCCATCCAGCTAACAAAACTAGATACAGATAGAAGTATACAAGTTATTCTAAGAATACATGTGTTTTAAAATAAAATTCATATTAATAAGTTTACACATTAGCAAGTAATAACTAGCAATACCTTGGTTTTTTTAGTATTGAAGGTCAGTGAAAATTAACGAGATTTTTCTTAGTTTTTATAAATAAGAATGTTACATAGTTCACGAATTGTAGAGTATCTAAACTCTGTAACATTAATAATTTATTGTTTATTTCATAACATGGGTATTTTATGTGACTTTGTTCGAGACTTACACAAACACCATTTCTTAATGGAGTCCATCCAATCCTTTCAAAATCCACGTGTGAAGCTAAAATGAATGATGTCATAACTATGACCATTTCCTTTCCTGAATCTATCCAATTTTTGATAATTCATTTTGGCACTAATGTCCTGAAACAGACCATTAAGTCTGCTGAAGACTGCTTTTTAGAACTTGAAAATGCAGTAGCCCATATCTTTAGCTTCGAACCACATGTTGAACTTGCCATCTCTGTTGTAGTCCATAGACAGGAAAACAGACATGTTTCATCTGATGTTTTTAACACTAATCACACAATTCAACAATAAAGTTTAACAAATTTACTCAAAACCTTTGCTGACCCCCAAATCACCTTCGTTAAATTACAAACCTAACAACACTCACTCATTTTCTCGCACATGATGGAATTCAGTTTAACTTATCTGGTATCTCTACGTTGATTTCAAACTTCAAACACTATACTTCTTGCAGTATTCTCCCAGTCTTTTCTACCACTTCCAAGTTTCCCGAACTCTCTCACTTAGCTGTTACTAGTAGTTCTTCGTCACTTCCCTATCCAAGCTCCACATTCCCATTCAACTTGACTACTACCAACGTTTCACACTCTAGTACCTCTGCTGCTCATTCTTCTCCATCTAACAACTTTTCCATCTTCTTATAGCATTCTCCTGGTTACCTCTTTTGGTTCTTCTAACAAACCCAACCCATTTCACACCAATTTCTTGTTGCACAACTGACAACTATCATTGTTTTTATCAGTTATGCTTCTACTATCTGCTCTTTCCAACTCACAACCTCTTCGTCTTTCACTTCTTTATTTTTGAAACTACACAAAACTAATCTCACTGTAACTATTTCTTGCTCTACACTACAACCATGCCCCCATTTTTGTAGAGCTTCCTCCATCAAAACAGCTTAACTACATTTCATCACACTGTATACCACTTTCTGAAGAGGTCAACAGCTCAACTCTTCCTTCCTCTTTCTTTATCTTCCAGCAACATTTTCACCCCAGTGTCTGGTAACACTCAATCTAAGTTGCACTGTGAATCTCTAAACTATTGTAGAAAACTTACTGAAAAATGCACCATATGAAGACCATCAACATACCAAGTTTCTCCTCTGTAACATTTAGAATAGAAACATATCTCAATCTCTGACACTAAAATTAACTATCACATTAGGAGCTCATAAACATAATTACTGCAAAAAATGACACCAGATTTTCAAAAATACCTCTTTAGCACCCATTAATATTATTTAAAACTTCAGTCAAATGTTTTTTAATATTCTAAGTAAAGAAACCTCTTACTATGTTTACCTTTACAACCACTCACTGGAAGAAGAACATGAACAAATTTAAACAAACAACTTGCATTCCTTCTTAAAAGAATAACAAAAACTAGCTTCTTAAAAAAAACACTAATTCAATAACTGTGGCTGCTTCTAATGCTATTTTTAAGAATCCCATAGTTACAAGCACCCTACCTGAAACTACCAATACATCATTTTTTTAATAATGAACATGTGAAATAAACATTTAAAATCACTATTTTTTACTTGACATGACCCTCTTAAACTAAAACAATAGTAGTGACCTCACAATTCCTACAAGTGACAATCAACTCACTTCCAGTGTTTTCAACATAATTAATCTTTCAAACTTAGTTCTTTCAGGTGCAGAACTATGTCACTTTTGTAAAGGTCTCAGCTTCTGTCTAAACAGTAACCTTGTGAATGAACCTGAAATTCTGACCTATATGAATTATCTTGAAAATTCAGACTCAATGAATTGTTTTTCACAACAAATTTCACCCTACTGACTACCAACATACTCCAGTTTTCAAAGAAAAGTCATCTTGGACAGCTCCAACAAACAGAAAACTACATTTAGAGAGTTATATTAAAGCTATAGTAAATGACATAATGCAAACCTTAAAATCTACCAAGCAATGTTTATAATTGAGATCAAAAAGAAAGAACTACTCTAAAGGATCTTAAATCTAACAACAGTATTGCAGACAATTGTGGAACTTCTGTTATTCTTATCAAAGATGATTATGTTGCTGAAACCAATTGCCAACTTTAAGACAGTAATTTCTACAAGAAGCTCACACAAGGCCCTAAAGCTCAGTTTACTAAAACCATCAGTGACAAATCTAAAGAATGTCCACAAAGCAAGAATGTTTACACAGAAACCTTCCAGTTTCTTGACACCCAAGCAGGCCAATCCAGGTAGATTTTGTTTCTTATCCAAATTACACAAACCCAATAATTGCAGCTGTTGCATGATTTCTAACAAAAACATGGCCACTGAGAAGCTTTCTGCTTTTGTTGACCTTGTAAAAGATATTCTGTTTACTTTTCCTTTTTACGTAAAGGACATGACTCAGCTTATATCATGAGGAAGTTAATGATGATGGACAGTTACCACCTAACAGCCTTCTGTGTAGAAGGCATGAGTAAAAAATGGTTATGAGATCGGGAAAATTGACTGACCTTGTAGTGAGAGTCTGTAATAATCAAGACATGTTTTGACTGAACTTGATTTTCTTTGTACATAAGTCCTAAACTCTCAGTTACACTACATTGATGTCTACCCTGACATAACCATGATATTATGATAAACAAACTGTATATCAACAGTCAGGAATATATAACTTCCAACTGCAGTAATATTAAAGTCAAGTATACATTTTACACTGTAACATTAAATTTTAATATTGAAAGTCATGCAGGGATGATCCATGTATAGCTGTATCATCCCTATATTCTTGTTTGCATTCTTTTTGGCACCGTCATCCCTACTTCATTTTATATGTAGAAAATGTTTTTATTACTTGTTTTGTGATGTTTTTTTTCCCTGACTGAAAGTTAATGCATTCTATGATGTGTGTATTAAAATTTAATATTATGTGTATTGATTTTTTTTTTACTTTTTCACTTCACACATAATACAGGGGTTGGTTCTCTAAAGACACCAATTTTATAGTGTAAAAACCATTAAGTATTCTACATTTTACAGTCATCTAATGTTCTTCTATTATTGGCTGGTAATTAGCCTGTTTCATCTTGTACTTAATCTTTTTTAAAGGAACACCAGCTTTCTATAAAAAGCTAACTTCAATGAGTAATGATAACATTGTTTTCACTAGAATTAATATTTTTTCTAATTTTTGCTCGTTATTATGACTAAGGTATGACATCGTGCACTGCCTAGAATCACAAAGAATGGATTCGGGTTTAAGTTGACTTTAGTGATAAAGTAGTTGTAGAGTTATCTCGACTGAAACTAGAAGAAGAAAGATGAACAATTTAGTGAATTGGTCACTTTTTAGTTTGGTATCTTAGCGATGGCTTCTTGCCTTGTTTTAGGGCTCATTGAGTAGAGAAACAAATGAAAGTGGGTGGCAATAATCTTTTAAAGTAAAACTCTGTCATTGTTGATTTTTTTACCTTGAATATTTGTATTATATATCTATTGAATACCTTGGCCATCCCTACATATAAAGTCTACCAACTGTGATACAGTGTAAAAATGCCATCACCAGTATGTAGGACTGGACCCAGATGGCTTAGGGAGGGTTTCAACTACCAGAAATGTTCTATCAACACCAGAATAACCCCCTGTTGTCCAACATTTCATATATGTGGCTCAGTCCAGTAGAATGACCCTGTATTTAAAAAGGAATATAGACTAATTCTCAATTTACTACACATATTTGCACTTAATATGGCATGCTTTAAGTAAAATGTGCATCTGCTGTACAGAAAAAAATTGGATGAATTACAAAGGTATCTGTACTCAAGAATAGACAATATTAGTCTGACTCGTGCAAAGTGATGTTGGATGAATTACAAAGGTATCTGTACTCAAGAATAGACAATATTAGTCTGACTCGTGCAAAGTGATGTTGGATGAATTACAAAGGTATCTGTACTCAAGAATAGACAATATTAGTCTGACTCGTGCAAAGTGATGTTCGTGTGATGAACAATAGTATTTTTTTCCATCATTCATGTACTCAAGAATAGACAATATTAGTCTGACTCGTGCAAAGTGATGTTCGTGTGATGAACAAAAGTATTTTTTTCCATCATTCATTGAATGATGGAAAAAAATACTTTTGTTCATCACACGAACATCACTTTGCACGAGTCAGACTAATATTGTCTATTCTTGAGTACACTGGCACATTGCTTTTGCATAATCACTGGAACCTCCAAAATGCATATCTACAGTTGTTTCAGTATCCCTGTATATTAAACCTGGTATTTACTTTCCTCTATCACGAGCATTACTAATTTAGTAATGTAGAGTAAAATAAGAAGTTGATAACACTGATACCAAATATATAATATCATGTTAGATGGCACTCTGTATAAGGTTGTGTCTTGCACACTTTAACTCCCACCCGTGCACACAAGGGTAATGGTGCGATTCTCATAAGCATCAAAACTGGTTTCAAAACTAAAGCTGATAGAGAAGTGAAGGAAGGCTATTGGAATGTTTCTTTAAATATCACTCGGCCATATGGAATAAATCTAGATCCTGGAATCAGTGGTCTTTGAATACTAAGTAGTTCCCTGTCTGACAAATATTAAAAACTTTTATTCATGATAATTTTCCATGTTTGATTGTTTTTCTTTTTTTAGTTCTTCCGACTTATAATTTTTTGCTAATTGATTTTCATATTATATTTTTATTTTCCTTAATCAATACTCATCATATTCCTTTTATGTTAATTTTTTAAACAAAGCCTTTTTAACCATTCTGTATCTAACATTTTTGTTTTCCAATTTATTCCTATCAACAAAAATTAGTCACCCCTCAAATATTCCTTTTAAATCTAATCAAAACACTTTCAGGTCATCATGGTGATCTACTTTGTGTAACCATTATGTCACTCCATCTTTTTTTACATTATACTTAATGAAGAAAGGTCAACCTTTTGAAAAATCTTGTATTATAGGGTTTCTTGCTTTTTGTCTTTAATTAATATTTGAACCTACACGTTTTCCTAACAACATGCATGTTTATAAAGTATTACTAATTTTTACATAAATGTATCACATTTTATACACACATACATTTATTTAAAAGAAACATGACATCTATTCCTGCAACATTCATACAGACAACCTGCTACTTAAGTAAAACATGAATATCTTCATTTATTTTTATCAGGTATCACCTACAGGCCCTTCGTCACCTTTACGTACTGGCCGTTGAACCTCGGCAAGTTATCCCTCGAGATTTTGATACAGGAAAGGCTGTGTATTGTCACCTGTTAGTCAAGTTTAAAGTAAGTTTTTGAACAGTGTGTTATGTTCATTAAACAACACGTGTTGTTATGTTATGAATTTTATTTTTTGAAAACTATCACTTACTATCATTTATGATTAATCAACATTAATAGAACACCAAAATGTAATTAGAGCATGTCACGAAAATTATTAACTAATTTGTGAATCTTAGGTTTATATGCCCCAAGTAATGCATATAACAAAAAACTTTAAAAAGTTCACAATTTTTGAACATGTTGTACATGTAACAAATCTACTCAACTGTTTGTCATATTTCTTACAAAACAAAGTTCTGTGTTAAGTGTGTTAACACAGCCCACTTTTGGTTGTGGGTGTGTTATAAGAGTAACAGTCAGTCATGTTATTTGTTCCAGTGCCCTTGTGGCAGTGGGTGCTGTTGAATTCCTTTTCTCTGGTCAGTAGCTCATAATTAGCAATGGTTATAAGTTGAATTCTAGGGTTCTCTGACCTAGCTTTTAGCTCATGTATCACATGTGGAAAATCTATTAAACTATTTTTTATATTCTTTAGGACACCATGATGTACACAGGAGAAGAGTATCAAGCTAAAGCACCATGCTTGTTGCCAGAACTTGATTTACTTGAAAGTGTAAGTGTGCTTACAATCATTTGAAGTAACTTATTTTATTTTTATTAATTAATGTGCTATGTATGTAGCTTTTTGTGTCTGTGTATATATACATACAAATATTGTATGTAATAACTTGAAGTTAGGTTACAAAGAGTTGAAAGAACTAAATTGAACTTAGACATTGTTATCTTAATTTATGAATAACTTTTAATATTCCTGTATTTACATTTTGAGAAGTTGTTAAGCCTTGTAAACAGGATGCTACATGTTTGTATGTGTGATCAGTACTGTAAACAGTATGTTATTAAGATAATGATCCTTACAATTTTTAGGTCATTGTGCAAGACTCCAGATATTGGGAAATAGTTTTTGACTCTAAGAAAAACTGGAATAGCTTAAGGTGAAAATACATTATATTTTCTCATTTCTTTTTAAAGGTTTTATTGATTTTTACAGTTATGTAAGTGATGCCAGTTTAATTACTTTAGTACAGAAGAAAGAATAAAAGAGTTAGCTGAAGTAAACTAATATTGTGTTCTGTTGAGAGTCTAAATCCAAAACTTCAAGAAGTTTTGTATGGTATGTCTGAGTAAACATAATAGTTATAAGATTATTCATTTTGTCTAGGTAACACCCCTCATGTGGTCAATTAACTGGAAGTTTCTACAAAATTATATTTAGATTAGCATGACTTCTGAAAAAGGTTAATTTCTCGTTTAACATGACTCCTGAAAAGGATTATTTATTGTGCTGAAGTACTTGATTATGTTGAAATTTATTTTATTAACTTGCGTATTGATTCTGTAAAAAAAATAGAAGTTAAAAAGAGTTTGGTTTGTAACTATTTTCGTACCTAAGCATTTGTACGTTTTTTGTACTTTAACATGTTAACCCTATCATCACAGGTCCAACATATTAATTATGTATACAGACTGAAATCTCTCACACACATTGAAGAAGTTACAGTCTGTTGTATTTTTATTATAGATGTAAATGTTTGTAAATATTTCAAGTTGTCAAACTCAAATTTTATTGTTTCAGACATCTTCTAGATAACGGAGGAAACCTTTATGTGAAGCAGAAAGCAGGTTGTCTTCCATACTTGGAAGACCCTAAGGTAAAAAAAAAAGATTTAAAACTCTTTATTATCTTAAAGTTCTGTTTCTGGTAAATCAAACCACGTTCTCACTAAGGTATTCTTTTTTTTTCATCATCAATAAGAAAAATGTCGCCATTTTATTTTAATCTATTATTAAAAGTCCTTCTGGTGTATCCAGCTGTGTTCTCACAAAAATTCTTTTTTTCCCATCATTATGGTAAGTGTCACCAGTGTCATTCTAGCCAAATGCTAAAAATTGTCACCACTGTTTAAAAATTTCTTATTTAATACATGGTAACACAATGCTCTTTTCAAACTGATGTAAAGCAAAGGATGAACTGCCTTGCTTGATCCTAATGCTGTAACAAAAATAAAACTGGCTCACGTTGACCATATTTTAGCCTTCTATCTACTCAATTTATTACATCCATCATTGAATTTTAAAAATTGAAATTTCTTAGCCTTAACAAAAACATCTTATCTTTATTTTGGTTCACCATTCCATTTCATGTAACACCTTCCCCATGATTAGAATTTTTATTTTACAAAACATTCACTTTTTAGATGAAAGATATGTTCCTATTTGTTCTTATGGATGTCAGTTTTTGTGCGAGTATTTATTGAAAACCTGTATTCTGTTAAATAATTCTGCACCACTGTTTATTTGAACAGCATTCTAGGTCAAGCAGTAATTCAACATGGCTTCTTTAGATTTATAACAAGAAATGGGTAGTATCTATCCTACCATGTCTGTTTGAGGGTTATAAACTCTAAACCAATCAGGTACATGCTTTTTAAAGGATATCTGTAAGACTTAAATACTACAAGTGTTTAATAGGCAATATACTTTAACATTAACTTCCGATCAAAATAGGCTTCCTACTTACACAAATACCTTAGCAACTCTCACACCATAAAATGCCAAGAATAATATTTCATCAGTGCAACTTTATGTTCTGAATCAAAATTTATTGTGTAGCTTTGCACTTAACAAACAAACATACAAATTAATCTGTGTAAAATTACGTTTTTTATATAGATTTTGTTTTATAAAACTTAAAACTCTGTGCAAAACCTGCTGGCTATATCAAATAAAAAATTTTTAAATGTAATTTGTTAGGCGTAAACCAAGATAAAATTATGTATTGAAAAAATTGCAATTTAAGTAAAGGATGTTACTTAAGTTTATCTTCTTCATCTTTATCTTCTTTATCATTTAAGTTGTAAATGAGAATTATGCTTGTAGTGGTCCTTTGGTTTTCATGGCATTGTTAGAAGAACGAACATGATAATAACTAGTTAGATAATACTTTAAGATGATAAACTGCACAATTATATTTTTTAATTTGTGTTTTCTTGTTATTAATGTGCACTCAGACCTAATATTGTGAAAATTTTACATACAAAATGTTTTTACTATTGTGGTAATTGAATTGTATCGACACTGCCATTAATCTTTCTGTAACAGATTGGAATCTTTTATCAGAGATGTTATGAGGAATGGCTTATGGGATTAAGATCACAAGTGTGATCTGGAATTTTTTTTCATTTCTTTAAACATTTATTACTTAAAATTATCAGAAGTAATATATTTACTCCCAGAGTTTTATTGTATATGACCTAAAATCAAAAGTTTATAAATATAATTTTAAAATTTCAACCTTGAAAGTTAATAGATTTTTGCCACTATTTAATCTTATTATAATAGCTTCATTGTATAGCATATGTTTTAATATACTGTACATACTGAATATTTCTGGTATAACACTTTTTATCTTATTAGAAATTATTCTCACTGAAATACTCTTGTATCATAAATCAAAACATTTTATAAAGTAACTTACTTTTATTACTTTTCAAATGGAAAAAGAAAATTTAAAATAGTATTCCTCTCAACTTTGCAAATTAAAAAAGTGTCACTGATCCTTTATGAGACAAAACAATTTGATAGGAAATTAACATTTCGTCTCTTTATTAAATAATTCTGGAAATTTGCAGGGCTTTAAAAGTGTATTTGCTCAGAGCATGGTTAAAGACAGTATTAAAGGCTGGAATGTAACGGTAAGTGTTTATTTTTTTACACAAGTTAGGTATCTGTATGTCCTATCATTTAATGTGAAGTGGCCAAATTGTAATTTACAAGTTAGGATAACTGAAACTATCTGATCTTTGTCACACATTGGCTTTTGTATTGTTTTAATAGAAACTTGTAATTTTATGAAAGTTAAAATTTTTATTTAAGAACTCTTCTTTTCAGTGATGTGAAGCTCATGTAACAAAATAGCCTAGTTTTGAGTGATGTCAAGATTATATTATGAACTTTTTAACCTTTGACTTCTCCTTCTGTGAGAAATGTTAATTAACATATATTTATAATTATAACAATCTGTTGTATTACTATGATTTGCAGATTTGTAACTAGTGTAGATTGGGTTATCATCCAACATATTAAAGTACAGTATCATAGATTTGACTACAGGGCTTAACTCAAATATATATTCAGGGTCAAAATATTTTCATCTTAAACCATTAAAAGTATAGAGTTAAAATCAGTTAATTTACCATTTTTCTAGATGTATGAAGTGTAATAAGTTATGCTGTTTTAAAGTTATGTCAGCCATGTTTGTCTTAACAGCCAACTCCAGTGACAGTATTTTCCTGTAATCCTGTTGCTCTCAAATTCTATGAATATTTCTTGAAACCAAGAGTCAAAACTTCAAAGGTAAGTTCTCTGTGACACTTCAAAAATGCTACTTATCTCGTGTAGTATGTACTTCACATTAAGACATTTTCAAATTTTTCTGACTTCTAACTTGGGACACACTCAAGTTTAATGCTAGCACAAATAAATTCTTTGAAGAACATCTGTGGTTCAAAATTTAAAAAAAAAGTAGAAGATACTGCACTTATCAAATTTACCATCAAAACATCATTTTTTTTATCTTCCTACATTGAGAAGTTTCAATTACACTTTTATATTTGATATTTTTTTCTCTTTAATTCACCAATGTAATTTAACTGAAGTACTTGTAAGAATTTTACATAAAACCTTGAAACTTTGTAGTATGCACGTACTAACCTTACTTTCCTGTAATATATATTTTTTGCCAACAGAATCTTTTAATTTTTCCCGAGTTTTGTTTTGGAACATTCTAAATCCACCTGAGGCTATGTGCAAAATTGAGCCTTAGGTGTTCCTTTCTGTAGCAGAGTCCAGTCATGGAAGTTATCTTCTATTTCGTGGAATAGTTGTATTGTGCTGAATGTACAGAGGACTGCTTTGTGACTCTCGTGTGGAACAGAAGTACGTCTGATTGGTCAGATGCAGAGAGAATGTGAATCCTGAATGCAGTTTTGGTGGTTTTCAGGTATATTTCTGTCCGTCTTCAGATTTGTTTTATCTTGATGGAGACGAGACTTGCTATGGAACTCCTCATCTTTGTTTGCCACATTCTTTAGTCTGCTGTATTGTTTTCTGTTTACTCACCATTTTTATTTAAATACAGTTTCAATTAATTACATACAGTTTAATACAATTATTAATTTATTTTGAGTTAATTTGACATTCCAAAAAAATAGTTCTACTGCTTGGCAGTCAGCTCTTCATCTTCAGACTCTTCTAAGTAAATAAAATGTTTAATTCTTATTTCAACTTCAACATTTTGTTTCTCTCATTCTTCAATTACAAATTACTAGTCCTGTCCTTCCCCTTACAAAGGTCCTGGGCTCTTGTTGTTTTAGAGGTCATGTAACTGTGTGTTAGATCCATAAAGTTATCCTAAGATCTTGGGCTCTTGTAGTTACAGAGATCAGGTAACTGTGTGTTAGATCCATGACATTACCCAATGGGTCCTGGACTCTTGTAGTTATGGAGATTAAGTAACTATGTGTTAGATCCATGAAGTTACTCTCAGGTCCTGGGTTCTTGTAGTTATGGAGATTAAGTAACTGTGTGTTAGATCCATGAAGTTACTCTCAGGTCCTGGGCTCTTGTAGTTATGGAGATTAAGTAACTGTGTGTTAGATTTTTGAAGATACCACATTGAGTGCTGTTTTTGTTTTTTTGAAACTGAGTTTTTACTGTAACTCTCAGTTAGCAACAAGATACTTAAGAAAGAACTAATTTCCAGAATTTTATTTTCAGAAAAGCCACTGGCAGCAGCAGATGTGTACCCTGCTATTTGAATGTGTGTCTGAAGAAAAAACAGAAATTCTTTCTGCATACATTGCACTTGACCAGGTAAAAAGTTTTATTGTAAATTTATACTTGTATGTATTGGTAAGTTTTCTATTACTGTTACAGCTAGTGTTTTCATATATATACATTATCAAAGAAGTTCACAAGTTTAAAGAAATATATTTAATACCAGCTGTTCTTGGGTACTTATGTTTGATGGTATGAAAATAAATACACATTATATTATTGTTTCAACCGAAGAAAGTATGATAAGTTTTAGAGTTCAACACATTTGTTATAAGTACTTGAATTGGTACAGAATGAGTGATCAAAATTTAAGTTCTTAAAAACAATTAGGGAATTGATCAAATAGTTTAGCTTTCTCATTTTTGCTAATGCTTATGATAGGGAGAATCCCAATAAGAATTAGTTTAATTAAAATTTCATATGAGATGTTTTAATTTAGTTTAATTAACATTTTACATGATGTATTTTGGTTTAGTTTAAGCAAAATTTCACATGGTATGTTTTGGTTTAGCTTAATTAAAATTTCACATAGTGTTTTGGTTTAGTTTAATTAAAATTTCACATTTTTTTGGGGGGGGTCAGTTTATTTACAATTTAACATGGTTTTTTGGTTCAGTTCAATTAGAATTTCACATAGTGTGTTTTGGTTTAGTTTAATTAAAATTTCATATGTTATGTTTTGGTTTAGCTTAATTAAAATTTTGCATGGAGTGTTTTGGTCATTGGCTTGTCAAATTAGAATTTAAAATTTAGGTGTACAGTGTCCCATTTTGAAAACAACTAATCACAAATTGAATTTATCCACCTAATTCCAGAAGTATAATGCATTACCCAACCTCCTCCATGACCACTATAATGTTAAAGTAGATGTTATCTAATATGCTCAAGCAAGTCACCCAAGGTTACCTTGTTTTTATAGTTTGGGTATGAAATAAGAAATTCCCAATGGAAAGTGATAAATTTTTCTACTCACTCAGATTGTTGACCAAATCTCGAGAACTGACCAGACATTAGACTTATGGCAAGTCAAGCTATTGCTGGCATATAGCCAATGGCAGGCCTTTAGACAACGAGAACATCCACTTTTACAACCAGAATTTACAGTAGTTGTGAAAAACCGTAGTGAACAGAAACTTCAAGAAGTTACAAGAGGTAAAATAATTTATAGTTAGGTTCAGTCAGCTATATTTCACTTGTATGCCTCATAGTTTCAGTCATTCTTAAATATAGAGACCGCTAGTTAAATTTTGAAATGCTTCTTGCCATTTCAACAGTTATGATTCAGAGCGCTAAAACAGTTTAAGTTCACTTTACAGAAGTAACTTAGAAGCCTTAATTTTTACATTTTAAAAGCACATGAAAATGTTCAGGTTTTTAAACCTTGCCTCAACTGTAACATTGATACAATCTGTGATGTTTTTACAACTGATGACTTTATTCTCTAGATAAGCAACAACTAATGGTTATTTATGTTGGCAGCCAACAAGATAAACTTACGGAACTACTTTTGCTATGGTAGATCTTCTCCAGTTGCTTCTGTTGCTCCCTTTCTTGTCTTTTATGACATTCCTCAACAAGGAACTGTCGACCTGAGCTTAGCTGAAGGTAAGTCTTGCACTAAACCACGATATTAATCAATACTATACTGATATCAGGGTCCAAAATTTCTATCCAGTCCTTCACAAAAATTGTATGCAGTCCTTCAGGGATTCTAACTGGTCCACTCCAAAAATGTGTGTGTGTGTGTTAATTCCCTGTTACCAGTCACAGATGTGAATTTTTTAAAGAAAGATACAATTGTAAATATGTATATGCACATATGTCTAACATTAAACAAAACTTTTTGAATATTTGAAAACAATTTTTTTTTTATTGTATCACTGTTGAAATGTGTATAATCTTTATATTAACCCAGATAAACGTTCACAAAAACAATAATGTGACTTGAGATTTCTGTTTTAATTACTGACCTTTTGATTAAGTATTTCTCTGTTGAGATGTTAATATTCATCACAATTTGTTTGAATCAATTCTACCATTTACATGTTCAAGGAACCTCATTTTAAGTTCAGATATCATAGGGATTTCCCATAATATCTGACAACAGGCCAGGGATCCCCATATAGCTAGAAGCTACATTTCAGAGATTGAAATAAAAACTATACTTTCATGAGACAAAAACATAACTAAGGTTTTAAGAAAAATTATAGAAATTAATATTTGATGACAAAGTAAATGTACGAAAAATGGTTAAATTCCTAATCGACCCAATAGAGCTAATTAAAATGTTTTTTGCTATCTTAGTCAACTCACACCTCCTAGCTGGTCAGGGCTGTCTAAATATGATGTGAATTTCAGAACCTCATTAATGTTATTACAGGGAAGTGAACAGGTACAAAATGTGTAACCGGAACACATACAACACTGTGGTTATTGTTACAAAGCAGTGAACTGATACAAACCTGTATTAAGATTGGTAGAAAACAGTGAACACATACAACACTGTGGTTATTGTTACAAAGCAGTGAACTGATATAAACCTGTATTAAGATTGGTAGAAAACAGTGAACATAGTTACATTTTACTCGACTGGTAGCAAGTTATTTTTGATATTTTTACTGAGAGAAAGTATAACATTATCATTTAATAGATATTAAAATATTTTTATATACAGTTTTCATCAGGCTGCTTGGTAATATTTATTTGTGTTTTAATTCACTTCCTCGGTATTTGTTTCAAACCATAATTAAATGGATAAACTGTAAATAGCTTGTTTAGAGTAGATGTTAGTGCAGAGGATGTATTGTTGATTTTTCAGAATTATAGTTCTTATTATTCACTGATTTTATTAATTGCAGGTACCCTAAGCCTTCCTGGTCTATTTCTTAGACTTCAAGAGTTATCACCTACAGTGACCTCTCTCATGGCTTTACTGAGTGTAATCTCCAAACCAGACTCTCCTCATTGACATCTATTCTCCACTTAAGGAACCATCATGAAAAAGTTATTTGGAAATATTTTCAACCAACAGATTTTTATAACTACATTGAACAGTTTTTATTGTAGAAATGTAAAATAAAATATTTATTAATAATAATTCAAGAAGTCTGTTTTTGCATGATGTGAAAGGTTCACTTATAAATGATTTTTTATTTTTTCACTAAATTTATACTTCTTAATAGTTTGGTAAGTAATCAGGTGATTATATAGCATGAGAGACTAGTGACACAGGTAAATGAGAATAAAACATTAGATACAATTCAATTGATCTATTCACAAGGATAATTTGGTATTATGCAAGACAGTTCATCTTCTACATAGTGGTTCCTTGTAATGAGAAGTAGTATAGTTGATTTCCTGGACAGTGGTAACTTGTGAATAGTAGAGATATAGTTCATTTATTGGACAGTTATAATTTGAGAAGTAATATATTTGATTTACTGGACAGTGGTAACTTCAGAAGTAATATAGTAGATTTACTGGACAGTGGTAACTTGAGAAGTAATGTAGTTGATTTGCTTTACAGTGGTAACTTTAGAAGTAAAGTAGTTGATTTATGGGCCAGTTATAATTTGAGAAGTAATATATTTGATTTACTGGACAGTGGTAACTTGAAAAGTAATATAGTTGATATACTGGACAGTGGTAACTTAAGAAGTAATGTAGTTGATTTGCTTTACAGTGGTAACTTTAGAAGTAATATAGTTGATTTATTGGACAGTGGTAACTTGAAAAGTTATATAGTTGATTTATGGGCCAGTTATAATTTGAGAAGTAATATAGTTCATTTACTGGACAGTGATAACTTGAGAAGTAATATACTTGATTTACTGGACAGTGGTAACTTGAGAAGTAATATAGTTCATTTACTGGACAGTGGTAACTTTAGAAGCAATATATTTAATTTACTGGACAGTGGTAACTTTAGAAGTAATATATTTGATTTACTGGACAGTGATAACTTGAGAAGTAATATAGTTTATTTACTGTATAGTGGTAACTTTAGAAGTAATATAGTTTATTTACTGTATAGTGGTAACTTTAAAAGTAATATAGTTGATTTATTGGACAGTGGTAACTTGAGAAGTAATATAGTTTATTTATTGGACAGTGGTAACTTGAGAAGTAATATAGTTTATTTATTGGACAGTGGTAACTTGAGAAGTAATATAGTTTATTTACTGGACAGCAAATCAACTATATCACTACTCTTCACAAGTTACCACTCTCCAGCAAATCAAGTATATAACTTCTCAAGTTACCAATCACTACTCTTCACAAGTTACCACTCTCCAGATAGTTGATTTACTGGAGAGTGGTAACTTGTGAAGAGTAGTGATGTAGTTGATTTACTGGAGAGTGGTAACTTGTGAAGAGTAGTGATATAGTTGATTTACTGGAGAGTGGTAACTTGTCAAGAGTAGTGATATAGTTGATTTACTGGAGAGTGGTAACTTGTCAAGAGTAGTGATATAGTTGATTTATTGACAGTGATAACTTGTGATGAGTGGGTGATATAGTTGATTTATTGACAGTGGTAACTTGTGATGAGTGGGTGATATTGATGATTTATTGACAATGGTACTTTGGGACGAGAAGTTATATAGTTGATTATGCTGAAATAAATGACAGTACAATAGGATAAAGGAGATTTGATAGACTAATTATGCACTGGTGCCTTGATATTAGGCTATATGTAATTGCTTACTTGGTCAGTGGTGACATGAATGATGCATGATATATACAATTAATTAAACGTTGGTACTTCGGGATTAGATGTTACAGTCAATTATGTAGATTGTGGTACATTGAGTACTTTGTTTATAGAAAAAAAGGGTACAGGGTCTCTGTTCATGGGTGGGAATTTTGAGTTTTGGAAGATAACAATTTAAATATTATTGAGGCTATTATTTGGGATGGGAAAAGTATAAATAATGTAATCAATTAAATTGAAAATTGCAATGCAACTGATGCAATAGTGAAATTAATTGTAGTGTTACCACCTTTACTAAGTTCATCATGATTATATATAGTATTCATGATTATATAGACAACTATGTGTTGGGATCAGACATGAAATAACTAAGTACTTTCCTTGAACAATACAGACGGCACCATTTCTATTCCATTTATTTTTTTATAAAACACGTATGTGAAAATGACTGATGCACTCCAAGTTTTATCCAAAAAACAACACTGTTCAGTGACCCAACTACTTTGCTAGGTAAGCATCCTTAGTGTTTTATGTTTTTACATAACTGTTATAATAACATCAGTTAAAAGCTACAGGGGACAAAAAAACTTATTTATCTGTATTAGCTTGAAAGTTTGTTTGAAGTGCACCAGATAATCTAGAAAAAGTTCATCTACATCTATTTTTATTGAACAGGAACAATTCTCAGTAAATAATCCCATGGAAATGAACTCCACACTTGCAGGAACCAGATTATTAACCAGTTGAGTACAAGTTTTTGAAACTGTTTATAGCAAGTTTATTTATTAACATGATGCTAGTACTTCTTAACTCGGCAGAAACTGTGACACTTCAATGACAGTTTTTTATTTTGATGTGAAAGTAAAATGAAGAGGACAAAAATAGGGTCATCCAGATTGCAACAACATTGATCCTGGTATTGATAATTTTTTTAATAAAAATATGCAGTATCACTTCCAGACAACATGGTACACATTTTAAAAGAAAGTTGGTGGTTGTTCAGTAATAATATTCCTTTGTTCCTCAAGACTACATATATGATATTTACTATTAGTCTTTCTTTTTTTTCCAGTATGAATAACATTTAAATAAATGCATCATATGCTTAGAGTTGTATGCATAAAATAATAATAATACATCCATAGTTTACAAACTGCAGAATTATGACCAATATTCAAAATCCTTGGCCACTGCCAGTTTTTTATATTCAATATATTTCAGTCTATACAAGATCAAAAGAATGCTCTAATCACATGAAACAAGAATAACAGTAAAATTAACCAACAATATTATTGACTATTTAGAAACAATATCAGTGGAGGAGAAGAAATAAAAACATATACTTTTTTTTAATTAACATTCTTATTTATAAAGGTCTTTATTAGAAAATTTATTTATCAGAAAAGTTGCTTTAAAACAAATTAAGTGTATACAAAGACTAAGTTATAATTTAAAACAGGGTGATTTGTTCTGTGGATGGAATTTCTCTGTTTAACAGTTCAAAGTTGGAATTACAATTACAATTAGAATCCAGAATGAGTATTGGATGACAAGTTTCACATCTGTGATTTTGGATAATGAATTGTGTCGACTTAAAAGGATGTTATCTGACCTAAGTGATTACAATTTGCTCATGGATTTGAATCGAAAAATGTTTAATTTTTTTAATATAGGCAGCCATGCAGTTACCACACATTTAATTATAGACAATATAAGAAAACAGATAAACAGTCCATTGTTTTGAAGAGATGTATTAATCTAAAGGATGGTTTGAAAAAGATGCTAAGTTTGACCTGTAGGTAAAACTTTCTTTTTAAAAATTTGAGTTGTTTAGAAAGTAGAATACTTTGTTAACCTAGGTAGGGGAATGATTAATCAAACTGGTCATTTATCAACTCTGAACATTTTATGGAAGTTTCAAATATTCTTATTATGCTTTAAATCATTTTCTTAGGGTATCCATTACACAATAGTATTTCGAGGATAAAAGCAATATCAAAATGTAAAATAAAGTGAAGAAATCTTAAATACTTGAATTAGTTCATTTTATATCCTACAGAAATAAAACTATCCAACTTGGTAACCTTCCCTGTAAATGTTTTTTTTTTTTCATTGTATTAATATCGATAAACTTTGGGGATCTCGATTAATTATCACACCTAGAAAAGGTATTCTGTTCTTCAATTTCACCGCTACACTTTACAGAAGAATGTTGTGAGTTTAACTACTCAAGAAAAGGTGAAACTTCATCCTTTGATCGAAAAATTACTAAAGTGTCATCAACGTAGCATTTTTAAAATACTGGTTTCAAGTTCTCTGTGCAGTAGGTTAACCAAGATTGTTTGTGATGGCTTAGAAACGTGTTAGCTAGCCCTAGTGGGGACCACGTAGCCACTACATATAAGGTGGTTGATTTTCTGCGTGGATAATTAAGGGTCTAAGTTGTACCTTAATTAATCCATAAACAAGAAAATCCTCTCGAAAGTTTTTCAAGCAAATGTCGTACGTCTCGTCCAATGAAATCTTTGTGAATAAAGAAGTTACATCAAAGCTAGCCATAAAACATTCATTAGGAGGATCTAGGTTTTTCTCTCATTAATAAATGATGACTCGAGAAGTCCAACTTCAAGACGTTATACAAAGTTTGAAACACAGGCTGACTTAAACACACACACACACACACACACACATACATACATACATACATATATATATATAATACAATACAACTTGTGCCATTCGCAATTGTGACTTTACATTCTTTAAGCCTAATATTAAAATACAACAGTATAAATGCGCAAGCAACTTTGAAGTTTATCGGAAACGGTGGTAAAATATAGGTTGAACATATCTGAATCAAAACAATTTAAATGTATTTTTCAAAGAATAAGTAGGGAATTTGTAACATAAATACACATTAATATGTGAGACAAATTTACCTGTAGCATTTTGCGTATAGTTCTTTATATTTATTTCATTTTCATTATTAATACTATCTCCTAATACTATTTTGTTTACCATGTTGTTTACCTATCTTGTATCAGCCAATAGAAACTTTCGTCACACCCTACTTTAGACGAAAGTCAAGATACCAAATATGGCGGAACTTTATTGCGCGAATGGTAAAGTTTATTTGTTTTCCATCTAGCAAAAACATTAGGCGGAGCAATAATTGGGATATACGTATAAATAAATAACACCAGAAACAGATTTATGCATATGATTGAAGTGAGGTTTTGTTTTTCAATTAAACTAAAGACCTTTAATGATATTGATCACAGTTCAATCTTCTTTACATATTTATATTGTTGCGTCATCGAGATCACGTGACTGGTGTGGCGCCACCTATTTTTTAGAACTATCCTGTACCTTGGCGAATG